GAACTGCAAGTCGGATTTGTCGTGGATCTGCTGCACCTTGAAATGATGAATACTAGTACTGGGTGGTATTCTTATGGTGGTATTCTTCTACTGCCATTCAATATTAATACTTTAGACTTACGGGACAGCATTTAATATTAATATTAACCTTGGATACCATGGTTAATATAATATAATTGTTGAATCAAAGCGTGGATGACATGTGGATGTGATATTGGGATGAAGTTGTGGGATGAAACCTAAAGTAGTGACCAAGCCTTACGTTGACCCCGAGCACCCGGGAGGCCGTGTGGTCCTTCTTCGTCCCAAATACCTTCACGTTTCAACTTTGACTCACCTCAAAATTTGACTCATTTACCCAATTTCGTAGAAATTGGTACCAATGAGAAGCTGGGAATTCGGTGTTTTGCTTGCTCATATTAATATTACAGGTTTGTTGGATAATGGGCACACTATCATCAAAATAATATTGCTCCTCAGCGCAGAATCTAAATCACTCACCGGGCTTGATTAATGTATGGTCAAATGGGTAACAATATGCATATACAGAGGTGACGTAAACTAACAGGTAAGGCCGATGATACCAGTCGGCGACGTTTTTAGCTCAGAATGGACTGGGCAAAGCTATAGCCATCCTCGTCGCCAAGTATCTGCAAATCACTCGAGGTGCATTGCAACATTGCTACATCATCCAATTCGTCTTGAGACAAAGCATCAAAGTCGCCTTAATGATTTTAACAACGCCACTTTTGAAGCTTGGGTTCGCGCGCTCCGGATAAGAACTTTTCGGTTTCCGGATACTTAAAGAGCCAAATGGGCTGAGTGGTCTTTAGGGCCTGTTCCAACCAAGTACAGTACTGTAGATATTTTTAGAAAATAAAAAAGTGGTTCCAAGTATTAATACAGTTTCCTACTTCGTAGTATTTTTTTCTCTTTTTCTGCGATTTTTTACGCAGCTTACTTACTATACCAAGAGTAGAAAAAGTGGTCCTTCACTTCTTTTTCTAAATAGTATAAAAAAATGAGATAAATCGATTTTGATTGGCTCATGCTATTTCTGAAAACTACTACTAGTAATACTTGGGACTTCCCCTTATCTTGCTATTTGTGGTACGCAACCTTTTCTGGCACGAGTGCCTGTCAATACTGTACACTGTAACTTAGCGCGTTTGTCCAACTGGAAGAAATACTTTTTCTATGGGCCCCTTATTTTTTACTTACGGAAATATTCACTCCTTGTACCCTACTTATTTTCCAAGGGTAGGAGGCTTCACTCCTTAAATATAGGGAAAAAAGGGGAAATAATTTTCCCTACCCTTATGGGTTTCCGAAGCCTGCTCCGGAGTACTGGTAATACTTCGAAGTATTATTAATACTATGGTGCAAGTCAGCTAAAGCCTACAACTCGACGTATAAATCAAACAAGATATTTTTATAAGTTTATGCAACTAGTGATGTATGAGGTTGTACTTTTCCAGGGAACTCTGGACGCCAAGCACTCCTAACAAGCGACGAAATTGAAGCTGCGATCCGAAACGTGCCACAAATGGAACAACAGATCTTGCGCTCTCTGTCGGCCGCGTGTGGAATCCCCATAACGACGATCATTAGCCACATGAAGAAGAATCCTCGCTTCAAGGCGCGGTCAAACTACGTCAAGCCCCATCACATCCCTGCAAACGTTGGAGAATGGCTCAAGTTTGCCATGTCCTTCGTTCGTCCTTTGCCAGGTGGACGCTATCTTTTCAACGACATGCACGACTATGTGCATGTAGACGAAAAGTGGTTCTACTTGACGAAGGTTAAAGGTAGGTACTATGTGTACGACGACGAAGAGGTCACTGTTCGGGCTGTCAAGTCAAAGCGTTTTATCACCAATGTGATGTTCCTTGCCACTGTGGCTAGACCGCGATATGACCCACACGGCAAGAAGGCATGGGACGCGAAGGTTGTTTTTTGGCCCTTCGTTCAAGTGACGCCAGCGCAGCGTGGAAGCAAGAACAGGCCGAAGGGCGCCATGGTCACCACCCCATAAACCGTCGACGCACCACTTTATTTTAATACAATATTAAATTAGGTTGTTCCCGCCATCCAGGAAAAGTTTCCTAGATGTGGCATACGGGGTAATGTGCTGGTCCAACAAGACAATGCAAGCCCGCACAGAAATGTAACGACAGAAAAGCTTTGTGTACATGGAGTTTATGGCATTGGAGTGGCTAACCAACCCCCGAACAACCCCGATTTCAACGGTTAGCTTTAGGATTCTTTAATTCTATTCAAAGCCTACAGTACCAAAAGTGCACTCGAACCATCGAGGAGCTTATTGTTGCTGTAGAAAATGCGTTCTATGAGTTGCCGACTGACACGCTTGCAAAAACTTTCGTAACCCTTCAAAAAGTTATGGAATTGTCCATTGAAATACATGGCCGCAACGAGTTTAAGCTTTCTCACATGAAGAAGGACGCTCTCATTGCAGACTTTGCATCGTATATGAAGGACGCTCTCATTGCAGACTTTGCATCGTATATTGTCGAGTTTGATGCCTCGTCCTACGAGAGCGCTTTGGCTCATTTGAATAGCCGACTTGGTGAGGAGGTTCACCTCGATGCCATGGTCAAGTCTCTTGAATGAGACATTAAAAAAATACAATAAAATTTTTGGTGCGGGTTATGGTGTTTTGGAGTGGCATACAAAAAACAAGTCGTTTCAATTGTCCAGTGCATACTTTAATCAAGTGAAAATCTACCTGACAGTTTTTGTGGAACGGAGTAGTACCGTATTCCGGCGGGACCTGTACTCCCAAAAATGTAGCCAAAATCTGATCCAAATAGGTACAGCCCCGTACGGAAAGTCAAATGCTTTCAAATCGTGAAAGATGCTAGGATTGGCTAATACGTGCGACCTCATCTGAATTTGATTGGCTTGATGAAGCCGCGACTTTGTTGTCGTCACTTTTGAAACCATCATGACGTCGCCTTGTAGTTTAGATGCAACACTTATCTTCACACTAACTTCCGATGCTTGCATGGTACTCTTGAATGTGTTCGAACATAACTGTCTTAACTATGCCGACATTTCGATCTGAACGCACACGCTGCGCTTGACTGGGTGATACACGCAGGTCCTCCACAACCAATGCAATCGTGTTTTTTATCACGTCCTTGTGCTTGAGTAGACGCAGGGGGTGGCATCCAACATGGCAGTCTTGCTCGGTGCCTACCAGACGATATACCTTCATAACCTCTTTGAGGTTTTAACGGTCATCTTGTACAGCAAGTGAAAACACGACGAGATCGTCGACAGTTAAGCTGACGCCGCATATCTCATGGCAGGTGCACGAACGCGTGCCCTCACCACTCGAGACACCAACAATATCGACAGCCTTCAGATCCATCCGTCGCCGAGAAATGAAACATGATTATGTACAGTTAATTGGATGATTATCAACCAATAGCTGATGTATAGGTACAACTCCATGAGCAAAGCCCAGAATCTTCCAAACAGGCCTTGAAGAGAGAAATGGGTACAACTCCTCCGATTGTAAAAATCGGGGGTACAAGTCCCGCCGGAATACGGTAGGGATCTCCAATGGGGTCACATAAGTCAGAACACCCTGTTCTGTCATGACCATCACCACTTCCCTGAAGCCTGAGGTACAGCATTGGCTGGAGCTAGTAGGAGGTTTTTGTGCCTTTTAGAGGTTTTTCCTCACATAGTAGATAGCCAGCCATATCCATGATACATTACATCATTAGGATTCCGTGTCCTGATTGGCTAGCCATTTGCTAGTCCGTAGAGCCTATAGAGCCAGTTGTTCTCACTGGCGTCTAAGGTAATTCACTTTCCTTTTCACCCGCAACCACCCAGTGTTACTCCTTGTTTTTGCACCTTCCCACTGGTTATGAGCTCCACCGCATCTTCAGCTGCGGCACCCAGCCTGCTACCACAGCGGCTACCACTACTCATAGCGCGAGTAACCAGCAACGCAACTCTTCGGATGACCGTGACTAAGCGGTGGAGGTCAAGCTCCCGAGTGGTCTTGTCGCTCTTCGTGTTTTAAACTTTGAATATACGACATTGATTGAAATGCTAACAATACGTACAAAATGTACTGTATACCGGTAAACACCATCTCGACTGTAAATTCTAAGTTGACATCGCTGCGAACCCAGGTCTTCTGCAAGCAGGCGCGCTTCCATTGCGCCACAACGTCGTGTTCATGAACATCTTGCTATCGCGGCCATCGTTCTTGTCACCCTTCTACTGCATACCGCTGTTTCATGGGCTGTAGAGTAGTTTGACCAACACAACACTCTTCGGTCGATGCACAGGATTCGTGGCGGATCGGCAGGGGGTCCGCGGCAGGTCATGGTTAGTAGATAGCACAGCTAACCTTATGACACACATGAGCATTTTCGCTGCGCCCATCTGTCTTTTGCAGCATGCCAGCGCCTCTTGGCGCCACCATCGGCAATGGACTTCGTTAAAATGTGCAAGGAATATGTCGCTATGTGTTTTAAGTAACCAAGTTCGTTTCACCGGGTACTCCAGTGCTTTTAACCAATGAAAACAAGTTGGACCATTTGGAATAAAAATATTTCCCAAATACCCGCCTTGGACGATCGTGATAAATTTCGGTCATTGTTGACGATCCTCGTAAATACCCAATATAGGAATGCGATATCCGTCATAAGGAGGCCGCTGCTCGTTGTAGTTATGCTTACACGTGAGCAAGTGGCACTGCACTTTACAGTTAGTTCATGCTACCCTCACCATACCTACGAAAGACTTACCCGACGGACGCAGTGGGTCTTCAGTCTAGGTGTATATGTAGTGGAAAGGTGCAAAAGCCAGGGGGAACACTGCGTGGTTGCGGGTGAAACGGAAAGTGAATTAGCTTAGTCGTCAGTGAGAACAACTGGCTCTAAAGGCTCTACGGACTAGCAAATGGCTAGCCAATCCGGATACGGCATCCTAAGGAAACATGAGGCTTCAGGGCAGTGGTGATGTTCATGACAGAACAGAGTGTTCTGACTGTCTCCCAACAACTCCACGCACTGTCACCGGAATCAGGTGTCCATAGTGCAGCAAGAGGATAGCGGTTAGACTCAGTGAGCGTAACTACCTATGTTTATACCGCCTTATGTCCAGGACGAAACTCTTCGGACATCCCTCTTCGCGGGTCCCTACCAATTGGTCATTTTGTATGACATACCGGGGATGAGACCGGATGGATCGAGTGACCACCGGGATGCCGTCACCCTCCGCTGTCTGACCTATCACGGTTGGAGCGTCCTCCGTACATGATGGGACTGGTCACGGGTTGAGAGGCCTGAGTTTATGCTCCTTGGCGTGGTCAAAGGGGTCGGAGGGCTGCAGCTGCTCCACTCTTAGTTTACTGCGCAGTGCGCAGAACGTTGTAATGTCTAATAGTTTGGTGAAGATATCCGCGACTTGGAGTCGTGTATCTGTGTACTCAAGTCGAAACATTGTTGTTCGACAAGGTCATTGATGAAATGGTAGCGCACATTGATATGTTTGGTGCGCCCATGGTGACCCGAGTTGTTCACTTCCTGGATGGTGCTTTGATTGTCCTCATCGAGGGTAATAGCTGAGGTGATGGGATGACCCATCTAACCTGCTGACTGCTTGATGCACAAGTATTCTTGTTCTACTGTGCAAATAATCATAAGTTCTGTCTCGGTGGTCGAGAGAACTGTGCTGCGTAGTCTCTTAGCGATCCATGAGATCGCAGAGTTGCAGTAGAATTTCACAAATCCGGCGACGCAGCGGTGGAGGGAGACTCCGGAGTACGTATGGTGCAAGTCAGCTAAAGACTACAAAAATATGGGGTCGTACTTAGTGACTATTACGTCTAGGATTTATGGAAACCACGCATTCAAAGCCTTAAGATCCATAGAGGGGCGTCTAAAGAAGAAATGTTATAGCGTAGATTTTCCTGAATCGCAAAAATGGTGGAGAAATAGGATTTGCCGTGACGGCACCCCATAAACGGAAATATATGGGACCTACCAGATTTTGGCATTAGGGGTGCTTGTCCCTCGTACTTGATATTTGTATACAACGTAACCGGATGCACCTTTGATATGATTATCTGGATGCACCACTCCTCACATGGGTCGCCGGTCCAAGCGCCAACAGGCTGCAAGAGCTGCTGACCGAAGAATTTCAGGTCAGTTCGGCCAACAACAACAGCACGGAGAGGATCCAGCGCTTGAAGGAGAATCTGTATGTGACGACACGCCATCAGAGGAACCATTGTACTTGAACCCCGACATTTGGACTAAACTCCTTGCCAGTCAAGGAATGGGTGACCTTGTTCAAAGGCTTTACACCACACATCCTATTACGATGGAACTAGTTCACGCAGCAAACGACGCAAGACTGCGTTAAAAGCAAAGCTCTCAGGGCGTGTCCAATGTCCTCTTTGGACACTTGGTAAACCCTGTTGCCCATCAACGCTTCCTGACGAATCCACTTCAGCCCTTCCAGCAGCCTCTCCAACCTTCTCCATTATCCGCTCGGACCAGCAGTGTTTCGATTTGCTCAACGAACGTTTGGTGGACAAGAAGACCGCCACCCCTGTGTTTGTCCAATTGGCTGTGCTTGCAAAGTTCTTTGAGTGTCGTCTGGATGGCTCAACTCGACGTGACGCTTGTGCTGCTGCGGCCACCGTACTGCCTGCCGCATTCCACCTCGGACCACGCACGGTGTTGAATTGGTGTCAGTAATATCAACGCTTTGGTTGCCTTCCGAGCTCTAGACGAGGTCGGCACCAGAAGACGCCGTCCCTTATTCACGACGAGGATTTCTTGAGTACGTGTGGGCAATGGCTGCGGTTAACTCGGCCTTCAACGCACTCCTCACAACTTTCGATTACACCTCAATGAATCTATCATCCCCGAGCTCACAGGTAATGCGAAAGTTTTTCCCAAAGTATATTCTACTTCACAGTCATATTAAATTTTAAGGTGCGATGAAATCAACTGTGTCAGAAGCCACGGCCCAGCGATG